AAGAGAAGAGACATGGACACAGACAGACAGAGAGGAGGGGGACAGTGCAACGAGGGAGACAGTGAAGGAAAACTCATTAAGTGGCCCTCCAGCTGAAATAATCCCCCAGTCCTATCCTAAACTACAAGAAACGCCTGGGATCTAAAATGTTGGTCTAATAGACCATTGCTGAAATTCCTCCACAGATTAAATTTATAAAAGTAAAATTTCTCATGTATTTTTTTCTCTACAAAATAACATTCAAGTTCTTTAATAAAAGGTCTGCCCATCTGTGTTCAACTCAAATTTCAATAGAGAATTGAATGTGAAGTATCTCTCTCACTTTGTCCACTACTGCTGTGCAAACACACCAGCACAAAATATAGCAAGAGTTTAATAGTGCAACCCAGTCTGTATAAAGACAATGACACAGATTATCTTAAGTTAATGGATTTGACCTGGAACTTTTACAAGTCTGTGATGTAGAGCTAGACACTTTCTGTCAGTTCTAGATGACTTGGTCAAATGACATGAATTCTGAGACGTGATTCTGCTGCTTTCTTTAAGTAAGAATGTTTTTATGCATACCTGTGGTGTTCTCTCCCAGGTTTTAGACTGTATTAGATCTTTGTTTTTCCTCTTATTTTTTCTGGTGTTGTAGCAGAAAGCCCCCTTTTCCTCTTGCCTGCATTTGCTTTCCCCTCTTTGGATATGTTTCTCCTCTTCTACATTTTCTTCCTTCCTCTTTTTTTCACTATAAGATAAGGAATTGTGTTAAAGTTTGTGTGTGCATTTTATATCTCCCCTTGTATTTTGGTATTTTTATCTATTTGTGTGCCATGGCATTACTCTTGCAGCTTATATTTTATACTGTTCACCTTTTAACTAAATGTGTTTTAGTTTTAGAAGTAAGTTATTCACTGTAACAATGTTAACAAGGGCAGGAACCAAACCGGGGCTTTCCTGTATCAGGCGGGCCCCTGAAAGAGCGAGTGAATGAATCAGTGATTGAATACATAACACAGTGCACGCTTCAGTAACAAGAGGCAATTAACACCTATGGAAACGGCAGATCAGCCAAGGGAAGAAAACAATAGGAGACCATGTAGCAACCGGGAATTCTCTAAAGTAAACTTCACTGTTCAAGGGCTAGAAGCCCTGGTCTGAGCTAATCAATACCGGGGACCAACTTTTGGGGCTGAATATTTCCAGATCGACCGCTCCCAGAGCCCTATTCATGACAACGGTAAATTAATCCAAATTCATCAACGGACTCCCAAACCTGCACGTACATGCGAATGAACCCTGGGGCTGACAGATGCCATCCAGTAGCTACCGAGGGGGAAGTCCCACGAGGGTCAACGACCCCTGGATTGGGCAAACCTGAAAACTAGGGAGTCACCAAAGTCTGCAAAGGACAGATAAAGAGCGGTGAAAAGTGACCCTCAGTGGTGCCCTCTTGATCTCCAACTTGAGCAGCACCTGTCCAGCCAGAAGGACCAGCTGGTGACCCCCTTCTGGAGGATAACACCATGCTGGAAGAAGCCTTGACCGGCCATCGACGGCAGACTCCAGCGCTTGTGGGATAGGTATACCTGACTGGTGCCCCACCCCACAAACATTTGTAACTGGCTACTGTGTGTGTGCATGTGTGTGTGTGTGGGGGGGGGGGGGGACCAGCCCCAAGGTTTATGATTTGACTTCATTACAGTGTTTCAATCTGCCTAATAAACCAGAATTTTAAGGATCCTGAGTTGGACATTTGTAGCCAACAGTGTCAGAAGTTCATTTTAGACCTTAGCCCAGAATGTGTGTATGCTGTGTTTGAAGCCAGCTGGCTGGCATGCCAAGCATAATTACTTTAACTCAGCTTCTATCTTTAGGGACACACACATCAGAGCAGGAACTGGACCACAGTAGAAAGTTCAATGTAACCTTGCTACATATAATAAACAAAACAAAGTGTGTATGTTGGGAGGTCATCTCCATTTCCCTAAAAGGTATTTTTTTGTTTCTGCTACAGTTTAAGGACTGTTTGTTCCTTCTCTGCCTGATGCAGCAATGCTGAACACATGTACACTGAGGTTACTTATATTCATATGCTTCTGTTTATCTTATCCTTATCCCCAAGATCAACACACTCTCTCTCAAATGGAAAGGAAAAAAAGTACCTGTTCAGGCATGCCAAGGGAAACTGGGATGTTCAGCTTTCTGTACCTGTTATCAATAGAAAGCCCAAAAGAGCCCTTTTAGGGAGCTATTTGAGTGGTCACAAAAATCTGAATAATGGTACTTTGCACTACAGTTTGTCCGTGTCCCTTGCATGTATTGTGAGTTATTTCTGTCACCAAATACATGTTTATACCAGTCTAAAAAAGAAGATAAGCAACATGAAGTCTTAAATTTAGGTAACTTTGCCCTATCCAGGGCAGAATCTCCCCTGAAGGAATCGGGGGTAAAACTTCACTGGTATAAGTTATTAGTTTAGGTGTTATCTGTCCATGTCCATCCTGGAGTGACCATTTACAAACAGGCTTTTACTTGCTCCCTCACTATCTAATGGTAGGGTGCAGTAAGAGCTGCCTACTATGTGCAGCTGCTCCAGGAAGGCTAACCCTTTGTTCATTCCTAATCTGAATGTAATTTACACTGGTATATAAAATGGATGTAAAATGTATGTGTTCATTTGTCTTCATCCCCAGTGTACTGGGTCCCAGTTTAACACCCAGCTACAGCCCCATTATTCCTCCCCTGAATCCCAGATCATTGTCTTACCTGCAATATCATCCTCTTACTGTCATTTTTCTGAGTATAATCAAACTGTGTAATATATGATTCAGGTATTTTGTTTTGGTTTCATATAAGGGCTTTTGCTGCTCTGCCCATGCCTAGATAACCTTTCAAATGTATACCAACTTATATTATGGCTATTTCAATTTGTAGGTTTTTAAGAAACAAAGGGCAAGAATGCAATAACTTCCTCCTTTATTGTTTAAAGGAAGTAATGCTGAGTATAGAAAAACAAAGTTCAAACCAATTGTACTTTGTTATTTGAGGGAAAAACATGGTATACTCTTCTGGCATCACAGAAAGAATCAAATGCCTGCTTGTCCCACCCCACAACCAAGGCCACAGGGTCTGGCTGGGCTACACTAGTTTACGGTGTCCTCTTGATAATTTTATTCATGCATTTTTAGCATTTCAGCTAATCTTACATGCACTATTTCTAATATATTAGAGAAAGAGGGATGCAATCCCAAATGCATGCAAGGGTTCTCTTCATTCTGATATTTTTATGATAAAACTAATATGGTCAGTGCATATCTGTCACACTTCCTGGGATTTCAAAATGCATGGATGTGATACACCTTGAATTTAGCAAGGCTTTTGACACTGTCTCCCATGGTGTTCTCATTAACAAGCTAAGGAAATACAGACTCGGTGAAAGTGCAGTAAGGCAGATTATATATAAACTGGTTAGATCATTGGTCACAGTGAATAGTCATCAATGCCTCAGTGTCTGCTTGGGAGGAGGTATCAAGCAGGATTCCTCAGGGGTCTGTCTTGGGTCCAGTTCTTGTTTAATATCTTAGTTAATTATTTGGACAGTGATAGGACTCAGTGCACATTTAGCAAATTTGCAGATGACAAGAAGTTGGATGGAGCTGCAGGCACTCTGGAGGGTAGGGCTAGGGTCCAGATTGACCTGAATAGACCAGAAAAATGGTATGCAAGGATTTGAGCCGTTCTTATTTCACTGATACACTAGGACAGTGAGGGGCCAACCTTTTTGGCAAGCATGCCACAAATTAGCCCCCATATCCTCCCAGTTCCAATTCCGTTCCCTTTCCCAATCTGCTGCCTGGCTTTCTGTTCCCTACTCTGTGTCCCCTGCTCAAATTCCTGCTCTACTTTGCTTCCTGCCCTGTGCTCATTGCCTGATCTCCTGCTCTGCCTTCTTCCTGCCCTATCTGTCGTGTGTCAAACACACAGAGGCTGTCTGTCTATTTGTGGCACTCCTGCTGCCCATTAGTCTTTCCTGCGCTAGGAAATGTTAACTTTCAACTGTCTGCCTCAGATTTTCTACATGGAATTAAGAAGATGTCTCATTTTCTCTGTGCCTCCATTCTATGTCTGCTAAATGAAAGCAGTATTTCCTTTCTTCTGTCCCTTACCTAGTCTAGATTGTAAACTTTTTAAAAATATACCCACAGAGTTTAAAATGCTGTCTGTGCTATGTAGTGCAATAAAACCACAATCTTGATCCAGGGGCTTTAGAAGGAAGTATCAAGATATCTAGAGCATGTTCCTGGATATAAATGTAACCTATGGTGAGTGGGAATCAACTTTATCTTGATTGCATGGGCCTTTGTATGACATTTGCTTTCAAACCCAGCTTAAAAAACAAAGTTACTATTACTGTGTTAGAACTACAGGCTCGCCTTTTTAACCATTGAGTAAATTTTCTTTTCTCTTATCTTTCCACAACTCCAAGCTCCAATCTCAGCTATTGCAAATATATTTTTCAGCATATTCTATTATATCTTTAAAGAAATTGAGCTAGTAGTACAGAAATTCACTGAATGCCAGCTGCTGCTTTATGACGTTAGTCCTTAGAGATGGTCCAAAAATACTTCAGCATTGCCCTGTGATAAGGATAATTGGGACCTCAGCAACATGTATAAATAAAGTGGTTACCGTACACCCCTACAGCAATAAGCATAAAAAGGAGAAGAAGCTTGGAAAGGCTGTCAGTCAGCCAGTGCATGTGTAGGTTATTTATAGAATAGGTGCTGATTATATCTGAACTGTTCCTGAACATCCAGGTGAAGAAGTGGTATATTTCACACATTTGTGCTCCTTTATCTTTGTTTTAGTACTCTTTTGTTATCACAGAACTTTGGAATGTCCCTTACCACCCTAAAAGCTCACATCTGAAGAAATGATTGTCTTTTGTTTTTGTATTAATGGACAGTACCCCTTCTCGGATTATAAATTCCTAGGTAGGGGAATTCCTCTGCTTTGCCATTAAGAATTTATAATCATAAGTAAATTCCCTAACTAAACAGATTCTTTAGGATAAATAAAATGTGTATTTTACTCACAGTCCTCAATCAGTGATTATACAATTTCTTGTTTCTGAAATGTGCTGTGACTATTGTTGTCAGCAAAATGAAGACAAGAAAGGAAATAGAAATTGTTCTAGTTCCACATTTCTTTAGTTTGGTTCCCAAACTTTTTTTTCCATGCCCCACTGCTGAGAGCGGAGTGCGGCAGTGGCAGCAGCCTGGGGGTGGGGGATCTCCCAGCATGCAGAGCGGCTTGTCTTTTTTTGTGCAGTGCCGCCAGCATTGCCCCTGCAGTCCTTATTTGGGTTGCGACCTGGGGTTGGGAACTGCTGCTTTAGATGCATATGATCAAACATGCTCATCTTTCCTAGAAAAGAATACCCTTAATAGATGATTCCTAAATGATTTAATAGGAATGAAACCAACAGATTTTTATAGAAATGATTCTAAACAATGCATAGAATGTAAGGGAGTGGGGGGAACATGGCCAACGCTTTTAAAGGACTTTTCAAAGTAATTGCGGAATTCTGTAAAGGAATAATTTTCTGTTAAGTTCTACAAATATGTTCCATAATGTTAAAGTCTGGACAGAAAAATACAGTAGCATAATAGCTTGTTGAAACAACTCTTTTGAGCCAGTAGTGCTCAACCTTTTGGCCACGAGTACTGGATGAGTGGTGAGGGAGCAAATCCATGGGCTGGATCATCCCTGCCTGCCAGGATCAAGCTCCCTCCTGCCTCTGCACAGCCCTACCTGGATTGACCTCTGCTTCACCCCACCTGACTCTGTGTGCTTGGATTGGGCACATGCTGTCCTCAACCAGCCCTTCATGCATCCCCATCAATTGAACACCACCCTTACCACCACCCCCGTGTGCCCTGACTGGGTCCCCTACCACCTTAGTCTAGCCTTGCAAGTTGGGATGGGACCTGCGTAGCCTTCAGGCCCACATCAGCCCCATGCCACCTTATTATAGGTTCACTGATGGGTTGGTTCAATATTGGGTTGGCACTGATATAAAGAAAATTGGTGGTATCAGAAATTGGCTTGATGTGGCTGATAAGGTGACTGATAAATGGCACAGCATGTAAGTAGTGAGGAGTACAGCTCAGCAGCTTGGAGATCTGCATGCAGCCGGTAAGTCTGTTGTGGTGGACTGGGAGAGGGGAGGGAAGGGGCATAGGGGTGCAAATCAAGGCCTCCACAGTGAAGGAGGAAGTGGGGCTGGGGCAGGTGCTGCCCAGTTGGGGTGTGATGGGGGACAGAGCCATGGCAGTTGGGGGGCATGGGGACGAGGTGGTTCCCGCCACTGTGTGCACCCTGGGAGGGCATGGGGGGGCAGCATATGCCCTCAAATCTGTGCGGGGTGAGGTGGGGTGGAGCGGGGGGAATGCCACTATGGGCTGGGCTGAGGCTATGCCAGGCTCTTCCCAGCAGGGGTGATGGGCTGGGCTGTGCTCAGGGCTGGCAGTGGCGGCAGTGGGGTTATGGAGGAGCTACAGAGAATTTTGGGGTGGCTGCAGCTCCCCTTAGCCCCCTCCCAGTGCAGCTGCTGCTGCCTGCCCCAAGCGCAGCCTGGCCCAATCCCCACCAGGAAGATCCCAGGGCAGTCCCAGCTCCCGCCCCAGC